CAATGATAATATTTCTCGATATACGCAAATCCAATCGCTTTCTTCAATTTTCTTAAAATATGCATTAAACACTTACTATATTTTTTTTTCGATGTTACCGAGGGTTGTAAAACACCCAGTATCGCAATCAAAACGTTACAGAACACATATTAAACGACGCATGATATACACAAATCCAATGAATTCCTTTTTGTTTCTTTACTTTAAACATGAAAAACAGATCTAAAATAATATAAACAAAATCGATAGCAGAAAGTTTAATCAACTGAAGAATGTATAATAAATTTAACATTTAAGACTTACAAGATCGATCGTCTTCAACCTGTTTCTTGATCAGATAATCTGAAGAATCACGATCATTGTATTTTGAGCATATCGATTTTATGTAGAAAGATTTTTAAAACTGTGTGCGAAACAGGTAAAAAAGTGAAGATAAATTGTTTACGAGATTCTGAAAATTAAAGCGTTCCCATATGACGACATTTCTTTGGCACCAAATTAATAAATGCACGTTACAGAAGATTTTAATAGGGGGTCTTTTTTTGAGAACCCATTAAATTGTAATAACTTTGAGAAACAGTGCATCATGTGTCATTTCATATGATTTCATTATACCTAGGACTAGTATTTAGAATACTGATTAGCTTATATTTGTTTTGCAATGTGTTTGTTTCACAATGTGAATCTTTTTAGCTATTTGTTAAACAAAAGTTATATCTGAATAAGTTTCACAATGTGAATCGAATACATATGAAACAAGCACATTGTGAAACAAATATATGTTCGTCTGCACATTAAATGTTGGCATTTAATAAAAAAAATCATGTAAAACAAAACTTTAACGTAAAATTCTCACGGTTATCATAACATATCGAGTTCTCATTTGATTATATTTCAATTATATTTTACTTTTAGATAATTTTGTAACATATTTTTTTTTTTTTTTGATTTGATAGCTATTTAAAATACGTTACTAAATTATTGAACTTTTGAAAAATATTATAAGACTATTTTTATTTTCAAAAAATTTATATGAAAAAAGTTCAGGGAAACTCAACAAACTTTCTCATTTTAAATGATTTAGTCTTAAACTATTGTTTTGTATGAAAAAACCATTAAACTTTCTCAATTTGAATGATCAAGTCACTGAATTATTTTTTGAATTAAAAAACTATTAAACTTCCACATTTTGAATGATTAAAACCCAATTTTTTTTTAAAAAAACCAACGAACTTTTACTAATCAGTTATCTTTTTTGGATCAAATGATGTAATCAAATGATGTAGGGAAAAGTTCAAAAAAACCCAATTGACTTTACTGTTTGGAACGATTAAGTCATTGGACAATTTTTGGAACAAATAAATCCTTGGACATTCTAAAATCTGTTAAATAAATCCTTAGATTTTACAAAACCTATTAAATAAGTCCTCATTCCTTAAAATCGTAACCTGTAACCTGAATAGAAGGTAACTTAAATTAAAAAAAAAACTTAAAAAATCATAAAAACTCCTCATCTCCCTCCCCTCCCGTCTCCTTCTCCCTCTCGCACACCATCATCTCCATCGCTAATCTAAAGATAAAAGCTGGAAGCACTTTTTGGTGTTCTCTAGCAGTGGTATGAAGTACAAAAAGCAGAAGTCATAATGTAGTTCTTGAAGTTGTCTTCCAGCATAATGATTTAATGACCTACACTTTTGTTTGTATATAATGGTAGAATTTTACCTTCATGTACTGCCAACATGATGACTTTTAATGTAACTATTTTTTTCGTTCAAAATATGAAAATTCATTGTTTTTTCATATCTTTTTCACTAACAAAATATATATAACATATTTTAAAAAGTCTAAGGACTTATTTAACAGGTTTTAGAATATCCAATGATTTATTTGTTCCAAAAAATTGTCCAATGACTTAATCGTTCCAAACAGTAAAGTCCAATGAGTTTTTTTTGAACTTTTCCCTTTTTAAAAATATGATGATTTATTTATTAAAAAAATATATTTAAGGGCTTACTCAATCAAAATGAGAAAATTTAATTTTTTTTTTTAAAATAGTTCAGATCATGATTTTTACATTCAAGAAAATAGTTCAGAGAATGGTATTTTTATTAAAAAAATAATTTAGAGAATAAATCATTTGAAACGGAAAAGTTTGTTGGGCTTCTTTTTATAACTTTTTCCTTGTTATATTGGTCATTCAATTTTGTTTGACCATTTCTATTGACCAATATTATTTTATATTATTTATATGAAATAAATGTGAAAAAAAACCCTAACAAACTTATCATCTTTTGAGTGATTAATTTATTGAATTATTTTTTAAAACAAATAAATCTTTGAATTTTTTGAAATCGAAGAAATAAATTATTGAACTAATTAAAACCAAGAAAAATCTAATGAATTTTCATATTTTGATCGATTATGTATCTGAACATATAAACACTTACATTTATAAGTGTAAGAATTTATTCGTTCAATAAAATATATTCAGAGACCCAACTTAAAATATGAAAGTTCCTTGGGTTTTATTCTTCAAATTTAGTAAGTTTAAGAATTTATTTGTTTGATTTTCAGAAAGTTCAAGAATCAATTTATTCAAAAAAATTATTTAAATACTTAATCTATACTATATTATAAAGCATTTGACAAAAACTCTTAAAAATCATTTTTCATGCATAAAGTACTGTATATTGATGCATATTACTTAAAATTCAAAATTACAAGTGAAATATGCATAAACATATACTAAGACGACCAGCGTCGACCAAGACCGGCGGTTGACCTGCACGACGGGTTGATTGCGGTGGCGATCGGTGTTGCAGCGCAGCTTGCGATTGAGAAGGGTAGATCTGTTAGCATTAAGAAAGTGACGACCAGCGACGACCAAGACCTGTGACCCAGCGAAAACCAAATGGCCGGAAACTCAATAGCCGGAAGCTCAATAGCAGGATCTTCAACGGAAATGTACCAAAGGCCATCGCCAGCTGCTGTAGCCGACATAGTTACTGCTCTCACAAATCCAAACTTTGCTGCTGCTCTAGCGACGGCTTTTTCTTCCTTCCTTGGTGGCGACGAAAGCAGCAAAGTCAGATCTCAACCCATCAAAGACACAGAACCCACGACAAAGAAAGGCGAGGAGAAAGTGGAGAAACAAGTTAAGGTAGCTCGGAGGTCGGAGGTGAGGCGTCTGGAGGAACCGATTGAGGCTGTGTTACCGGAGCTAAAGGTGAGAGAGGCGGAGCTGAGGCGGCGGAAAAAGGATAAGCAAACTRTGTATAAGAAATCGTTTCCTGTTCARAACATTAATCATGATGATGCAATTATCGAGACCAGGTCTGTCGAGGAAGCAACCGATATCAAGAAAAGRCCCAATGTCTCGTTCAAAACTCTCAAAGATGCTGAGTCTTCACAGATGAAAACAGCAAAACCTTCAGCTACAATGGAGAAGGAAGCAGTGGGTAATAATGATGGTTGGCAAAAAGTGGAAAGAAAAGGGAAACTCAGAGGTAAAGTGTCCAATTTCTTTTTCACTAGATTCCCAGATAATTGGGATGAAATTGCTTTGGAAAACATGTTCAAAAAGTATGGTCGAATTTCATCCCTTTATTTAGCTAGAAAATGCACAAGTAAGGGAACCAGGTTTGGTTTCGTTAAATTCTTTCATGCTGATGATGAGATTGCTTTAGAAAGAAGGCTCAAAAACATTATTATAGGCACAAAGAAACTTATTATCAATCTGGAAAAGTACGTCAATGGAAAAAAGAGAATTATTACAAAGGAGTCGAAGCCCCAGCAGAATAATTTGGTTAATAGRAAYAAGGCATGGATCCCGWCTAATCGTCATGCTGAAAACATCAAGCTAGGTTGTGTGGATGGTAGATCGTTCAAGCAGGCTGTTCTTGGCGAAAATTTGCATAAAGGCGAAAATAAGGTCATCAAAGGAGAAATCAACATGGATTACGTTGAAAGGCTGCGTAAGAGTTGGATGGGAAGGGTCAAAAGCATTGAATTGCTTAGGAATTTAAAGGAAATTCTCAAAGAAGATGGATTGGGTGCTTGCAAATTGCAATATGTGGGAGGTTTGTTTGTTCTTTGTGAGTGGAGCTCAAAAGAGGTGGCCGAAAAGTGTTTAGCTGAAAACAAAGATTTGCTAAAGCACTGGTTCCAAAATATTCAAATGTGGAATRAAAATTTTCTCTGTCCGGAGAGGTTGACTTGGATCGACATTCAAGGTGTGCCTGTTGAAGCCTGGTGTGACGGTAACTTTAAAAAAATTGCAGAGATGTTTGGGGAGATTCTTGAAGCTGACAAGCCTTCTTTCGATAACGACATGGTATGTTCTTTTGGTGTATTGATAGCTACTARTWTGGCAAGTGTAAATTCGGAGGTGAAAATGATTGTAGGTGATAAAATGTGTTGTGTAAAGGYTATCGAAGACCACAACYGATTAATTTTATTGCCTCCTTCTAATGATGCTCGATCTAGTTTTGACTCGGATTTTGAAAACGATGTTGGCTCATGCGACGGCATATCAGACTCTCGATCGGTTGACTATGAATCGCCAGGATTCTCCGATGAAAGGGTTGAAGGGTGCAATTTGCAATCTTGGGACGAAGTCATGTCCTCTAAAAAATCAGTTCCTTTTGAAACTGAAAATGTTTTGATCCCTGATCAAAACTCGGGCTCGGTTATTGGGTCAAAGCTTCAGGCCCAATTTTCTTCTCCAAAAATCTTTGTGGCATCCCACCAACAGGTCCAATCCAATAAAATTTCAAAAATTGGTCTTGAATTCACTGGCTTTTGCAAATCTTCATCATCCCACAGCTCTCAGCCTATCTCTGTTGATATTGTGGCTGACTCAAAGGAGGTAATTGGAAATGCTATTGGAGTTCAATACAATGAGAAAAAAGCTAGGGGTGACGAAATCAGGTCGCAGGATGTCTACTTGTGCTGAGCACCTGTGGAGCTTGTTTTCTTTTTTGGGTAYKTTTATTCTCATTATGAAGATTCTTTCTTTAAACTGCTGTGGGCTGAAAGCGAATGGAAAATCTGGCAATATAAAGGAKCTTGTGCAAAAAGAGAAATRTTCTGTGCTAGGTTTGCAAGAAACAAAATGTGATAGCTTTTCAGATGCTTGGTTTTCGTCGATTTGGGGAAGCAGGAGCTTTGACCACGTCTTTGTAAGCGCTTCTGGCCGTTCAGGAGGTATTCTTTTATCTTGGGACGTAAGTGTTTTCTTTAAAGAATCAGAAATTAAGGGGGACCATTTCTGTGGAGCGATTGGTTTGTGGCAAAATGTGAAAAAGAAAATTGGTTTAATTAATGTCTACAATCCTCAAGCGCTGGCGCATAAAGCAAAAGTCTGGGAGGAACTGAGCTCGGTGATCCTGAGTGCCTCAGATGTTATATGGGTTATATTGGGGGATTTCAACRCGGTTCGTTTTCCTGAAGAAAGAATGGGATCAAATTTCKACTCTAAAGAGGCTTCAGATTTCAACAATTTTATTTCTTCCTCTGGGCTTCTCGATATCTCTTTTTGCGGCAGACGTTTCACCAGATTTAGCAAAGATGGTTCCAAGATGAGCAAGCTTGATCGCTTCCTGGTAACGTCTAACTTTTTCTCTTTTTGGAAAGATCCTTCCGTGCAGGTTTTACACAGATCCATTTCCGATCATTGCCCCATTCTTTTGAATGTTAATGATCTTTCTTTGGGGCCTAAACCTTTTAGAGTTTTTGATTCATGGTTGGGTATTGATGATTTTCAAAA